TTTTAATCTAGTTTTTTTTTTTACTTTATTTTGCAAAAGGGTCTAAGTTGCTCAGGGTGGCTGTGAATTTGTGATTCTCCTGCCTCAGACCCTTTATATACATATATATATATATTTTTTTTTTCTTTTTCTTTTTCTTTTTGGTACCAGAGATCGAACTCAGGACTTTGTGCCTTCGAGGCGGGTGTGGTGCCACAGAACTAAATCCCCGGCCCATTAGACTCTTGAGTTGCTAGCTTTACAGGATGTACCACCACATCCAGCTCCAACATTCAACATTCAATAATTTCTAAAATTTAGGCACAAAAATCTCAAATTCCTTATTAGTCCATTGCTATTACAAATCTGAAGTTTTAAGATAAAGCTGAGGATTTAGCTCAGTGGTTCCACCCCCTGCTTTGCAAGTGCAAGCTCCTGGGTTCGATCCTCAGTACCAAAAAAAAGGAAAGTTACAGAGAGATTACAGAAATTTCATATATTCTTTGGGCCAGGGATTTAGCTCAGAGGTTCTGCTGCCTGCCTCACAAGCACAAGGTCCCGAGTTCAATCCCTGGTACACACACACACACACACACACACACACACACACACACAAACAAGATAAAAATCTATCTCCACCAATGTACAATACTTAAATAAACATTTAAATAAATAAATAAATAAAACAATTACTTTAACATCTAGGGATACACTTAAATCCTTCATGCTTGCCAGGGATTTAGCTCAGTGGTTCCACTGCCTGCCTTGCAAGCACAAGATCCCAAGTTTGATCCCCAGTACCAAAAAAAAAAAAAAAAAAAAATTAAATCCCTCATGCTTCTAAGAGATTCTCAAAATATTAACACGATGTGATAATTTTATGTTAATATTTCTTTATAGGGCCAAGGATATAGCTCAGTGGTGCTGTACCTGCCTGGCAAGCATCAGGTCTCAAGTTCGAACCCTGGTACCAGAAAAAAAAAATTTTTTTCCTTATAAAACATAAGAGAACTGAATGCAAACATTCCATCTTAATATAATTTACACTTTAAATATTCATATTTATTTTCTAGAATCCTCGTGCAAGAAGATGCTTTTCTATGTACTTTTACTATTTGATCACATCACTAAGCAGGCAGTATTTATTTCCCAGAAGTCCTATAGTTCGCTCTTGACTGCATTATTATTTTAATAATAATAAATTAATGAAATGAAATCATTTGAACTTACCCAAATGAATACACAGGGCTAGGTTTCCTCATCATTACCCAATAACTTATTAAGCATGTTATTAAACTAAGTAAAAAGAAAAAATAGTTTAGCATTAGAACTAGAGCTAGAAGAGAGAACACTGACAGTTTTCAGAATTCTAAAGTTGCTGAAAGTTATCAGTCATCAGTATTATTATAAATTGTAATAACATAATCTAAACAGTTTTAACATGTGAAGAAACTGAAAGAAATTACAATTCACTAATAAGTCAAACAGAACCAAAACCCACACTATCTCCAAGCTAAATGGTTTCTATAACTGAGAATATTTGTTTAAAAGATACAACAATGGGAATATATTTTATTCTAGTATATATAGTAAATTTTAACACTGATCAGCTTTAATTTTTGTTAAAATTTACACTAAGTATTAAAACATCTGGACTTTTTTTTTCAGTAGTGGGAACTGAACCCAGTGCCTTCACACTGAGAATATTGTCAACACTTATTTATTTTTATTTTTATTTTTATAAATCACTGAGTTACCTAGGCTGGGCTTGAACTTGCCATCCTCCTGCCTCAGCTTCCTAGAGTTGGGGGATTCTAGACATGTACCACCACACCTGGCTAGATTTTATAAAAATGTTAGATTTGATAAAAATCCATCAATTTTCCAAGTGTGGTGGATTCACTCTAAACTTATTACAGTATGAAACTCAGGTAACAAGTATCTATCTGTCTTATAACAATTTAATAGGTTTTCTTACCAGGTTGAAGACATCCTTAATAATACTTTCTAAAAATTTTATTTATTTATTTAGGTACTGGGGAATCAAACTCAGGACCTTGTGCTTGCCAGGCAGATGCAGTGCCACTCAGCTAAATCCCTCACCCCTAAAAATTTTTATTTTTATTAGTACATATTTGCTGTACATAATGACTACATTCCTCATGTGGAGTTTGTACATGTACATAACACATCTCAATTCTTTTTCCAACCTCTTTCCCTCCCTCGATCTCTATCTCGTTTCCCTTCCTATTTACAAAAGCTCTATCTCCCTATTTCCTAGTCCTGTACTCCAGCTAAACTTGTGTCCTCAGATTCTGTGAAACACCCTTGAATACCTCAAGGTGGCCCCAGTGGAAGTCTGATGGTCACATTTCCCAAGTGTACTTCACACTCATCAGGATGAAGTTCTTACTGTCTGCTAACCTCACTTCAAATTCAAAAGCAGCAGCAAAATTTGGTATTTACACAGAAGCTATGCTAAAATTCTCCTTGGTTTTAAATGAACAGATGACTTTTGTATTATTGGCAAGTGCAAATGAGAATCCTCAGGGCCAGCCTGAACTACATAGTGAGATCCTCTCTCAAAAATCCAAAAATAAATTAATAAATGAAAATAACAATTGCTGGCAAGGGAAATCTGAATCCTGATAACAGTACTGATGGGCAAGAAAAATGCAGTCACTTTGGTAAACAGTACAGTAATTCTTCAAATGAATAAACAGAGTTAGCAGTATGATCCTGTAATTTCACTCCCAGGTATATATGCAGAAATAAAAACCTTTGTCTAAACAAAAACTTATACTCAAATATTCACAGCAGCATTATTCATAATAGCCAAAGACTAAAAACAATCCCAAATGTCCATTAACTGATTAACAGATAAATAAAACTGGTATAGCAATAAAATTAAAATTTAAAAAATTAAAAAATTTAATCCACAATTTAAAAAATTCCACAATTAAAAAAAAAACACTACTGACGTGTTATAACAAAATATTAAAAACACTATGCTCAGAAGACAGTCATACATGCCAGGCATGGTGGTGCCCCCCAGCACTTGGGAGGCTGAGGCAGGAGGATTACCATGAGTTCAAGGCCAGCCTGGGCTACACAGTGAGTTCAAGGACAGCCAGAACTACATAGTGAGACCCTGTCTTTTTTTAAAAAAAAAAGACAGTCATATTGGACCATATATTATGCTTCCATATACATGAATTTTCCTGAATAGATAAATCTATAGAGGAAAAAATTAGATTAGTGATTGCCTAGAGCCAGGGATGAGAATGGAATGATTAGGGAGTAATGGCTAGGGCAAAAGAAATATTTTTAGGATAATAAAAATGTTAAAAAACTGATCATGTGGGCCGGGGATTTAGCTCAGTGGTGCCACCACCTGCCTCGCAAGCCCAAGGACCTGAGTTCGATCCCCGGTACCAAAAAAAAACCCCAAAACATCATGATGATGTATGTATAACTCTATGAATATACCAAATATCAATGTAAGACATGTGAATTATACCAGTAAAGCCATTTTTTTAAAAAAAAAGAGCATCCATTTCCCTAACACCCTCAACACAAGCATACTCTAAATGTTTTATTTTTAAAATTTTTCTTTCCTTTCCTTTTTTTTTGGTACTGGGGATCTAACTCAGGACCTTGCACTTGTGAGGCAGGTGGCGGAACCACTGAGCTAAATCCCCAGCCCCCTTTTTCTTTTCTTTTCTTTTCTTTAGACAGGGTATCACTGTAGCCCAGGCTGTCCTTAAACTCTCAATCCTCCTATCTCAGTCTCCTAAGTGCTGGGATTATAGGTATGTGTCACAATATATGGCTTTTTGTTTGTTTTGTTTTGTTTTGTTTTTTGAGACGCTGTCTTGCTATGTAGTTCAGGCTCCACTTGAAGTCACTATGTAGTTCAGGCTGGCCTCAAACTCACAGCAATTTTCTTGCCTCAGCCTCCTGCATGCTAGGATTATAGACATGTGCCACTACACCCAGCTCTTAAATTATAAGAACATTTAAATATCAGCAAAATTAGTCTTTTGGTTGAGAAATATCTTGTTAGGTTGTTCTCTGTTTATGGTGATATTTGCTACCTAGATTTTCCAATTTTTTGTTTGTTTGTTTTTGTTTTGAGACAGGGTCTCACTATGAAGCCTTGAACTCACTATGTAGCCTAGGCTGGCCTTGAACTCAGAGCAACCCTCCTGCCTCAGGCTCCAGAACGCTGGGATTACAGGTGTGTACCACCGTGCCCAGCTTCCAATTTTAATACAGCTGAATTTATCAATATTTTATGACTTCGAGGATTTGTACTATCTTTAAAATACCACAATTATCACAAGGATTTGTACTATCTTTAAAATACCACAATTATCATGTGCTAAATTCTCATTAAGGGTTTAGGTCTATTATTCAACCTTTTATTCTGATCTCTCTTTCATATGCAGTACTCCCTCCCTTATCTGTAGGAGATATGTTCCAAGACCCCTACTGGATGCCTGAAACTATGGCTACCAAATTCTATACTATATATGCTATTTTTTCCTGTATTTCATACTTGTGATGAAGTTTAATTTATAAATTAAGTAGAATAATAGGTTAACAGTATGTTAGAAATAGAATATAATAATATACTGTAACAAAATTTATGTGAATGTGTTCTCTCTCTTTCTCACTGTTACATAGCCTTATGCCAGTTTGTAAGGGTTACTTGAACACAAGCATGGGCGTACCACAACAGCGTGCTGATCTGCCCACAGACAGCTACTAAAACTCTCTAATAGGGGCTGACAGCCAAACACACTGGACACAGAGACGTTTGTGTGGTGGGCTGGATGGAACAGGATGGTGCCAGATGCATCATGCCATTCAGCAAGGTATGTAATTTAAAATTTATGAATTGTTTATTTCTGGAATTTTCCATTTATTACTTTTGGACTGCTGTGGACCCCAGATAAGAACTGTGGAAAAGAAACCATAAGTGGGAACTACTAAAAATATTCAAATAAGCTTGTCTGGTTTGATTAATTTTAGGAGAACTAACCTTTTTTGTGATTCTAAGTATTCCTATGTAAGTACACTGTTTAACCTTTCTACTTTTCCTCTTCTACTTTTTCAGGTCTTTCTCTTTTTTTTGTCCTTCAGAATCATTCTAAAGTTTTCTTATGCCTTGACACTTATCTTTTCTGTTGTTATGGGCATGAGATATTTTTTCCATTATGTCTCTTGTTATTTGTGTGTATGTTCTATGTTCATAATTTCACTTATTTAGCAAATTATTTTTCTTTAAGTAAAGAAAATTTCATGAATTTAGTGCAATAAATCTTTATTGGCTCTAAAACAATAAGGAGATTTTCAAAAACTTACCTAAAGAGATCAAAAATGGTCAGGTAAGTATAGGCAGTTAAAGCTGCAAAACAGCAAAAAGATTAAAATGTTATTTAATTGAGACTTAAGAAAATACAGCAAACCATCAAAATTGTTCATATCAGGGGCTATAGGCATTACTTTAAAAAGTCTGGAGACCGGCGCCTGCCTTGCAAGCACAAGGTCCCGAGTTCAATCTCCGGTACCAAAAAAAAAGTCTGGAGTCAATAATCAACCTCATATATTGAGAATTATGTATAAATTTATTTAATACATGTAGCCAATGTTGGTTACCACTAAAGTTCACTTTAGAACCTGATTTTTGCACTAGAAAAAAATGAAGCAACAAATGCTCAAAAGTCATGTGATCGCCAGGGATGGTAGCACACACCTGTAATCCCAGCACTCAGGAGGCTGAGGCAGGAGGATCATCATGGAGTTTGAGGCCAGCCTGTGCTACATAGTGAGTTCAAGGACAGCCTAAACTACACAGTGAGACCCTGTCTCAAAAAAAAAAATGTCGTGATCAAGTTGGTACCTATTGTGCCATCTCAACTCTTTAACATGTATCTGCTAAATACTAACAGATAGCAAATAATGATACACGAAAACTTCAGCAGTCAAGACACAAGGAAAAAAATTACAGAATTCCTTTGTTAAGGAAAAGTCAGGAAACCTTAAAATCTTAACTTATAAACTGTATGAATTAGTTTTAATCTGTCCCACTAAAAAGATATCTCAGAGGCCAGGGATTTAGCTCAGTGGTTCCACCGCCTGCCTGGCAAGTGCAAGGTCCCGAGTTCGATCCCTGGTACCAAACAAAACAAAACAAAACAAAACAAAAGATATTTCAGTTTCACAAGTGAATTCAAAGTTTAAAAAAATAACAATTCATTAAAAATGATAAAATTTAA